ATACATACATATATATATATATATATATATATATAGTGTATATTCAACAGATAGACAATAACTAATGCAATGCATTGCTTTTTTATTTACTTTTGACAGCAACAGTACAGAAAAAAAACAATGCTATAAAATTCTACATCAGAATGAAAAGTGCAAATTTTGTAATATGAAGCTTACCATCAGGTTTTTTAACATTGTGATGGTCTTCACTTTTTGCATATTTAAAAACAAACATATTCAAAAGTAATAAGGAGACAGTTTTCAATTTTCAGTGCAAGTGGCAGATTTTCATTAAGCCTGCATATACGCATTACATATCTGCTAAGAAGTTAAAAAAAATAAATGATCAAAATAAGAATATTGCTTAATCCCAGTAATATGTTGATTGTTGTTATTGCTCTTCTATAGTCCAGTTAAAGATGATCAGGCTCTCTCCTTTTAGCCTCAGCCCGAGCTGTAGGAAGAACAGAACCTTAATGTAATGGAATATTTTATGAGGTTAGAATTTAATTCCCAATAAGCAGCCTGACACAACAACAACCAAAGTTATTTTGTGCTCCTAGTTTGCCACACTTGTACATTATCTGCCCTGAGGCTGCAGGCAGGCCAAGTCATTTCAACATAAAGCTTTAAATTTCTGTCACTTCCTGTTGTTGTCATGATAGACAGCGCTGAGATCACCTCAATAACCACAGCTGTTTCCAGGCAGACAGCAGCCAGAGACCTTCCTTGATATTTCTTATAGAATTTGAGTTATTAAACTGGTTTTACACCTTTAAGCTGGCCTCTTTTTATCTTGGCTGATCACCATGGTGTTAACCAGTTTTTACCAATTTGGACAGACTGAACTGACAAAAACTAAAAATAGTCAGTTTTGGTCTCTATGGTTTCCTTATAAATAGGTCAACTCAAAATAAACATTAACTCTCATACACACAGACACACACCTGAATTGGGCTAATTTTAAATCATACATCATTAGCCATTTGGGGTTCAAATATTTCTGAGGCTTAAAAAGTAGAACTAGAATGTAAAAAAAATAAACTGTTGAAACTGGAATATTTTCAAATCTCTTACCTCGAGCCCACTTTCGGTACGTGTATATGCACAGCATAGCTATAGCAGTGTAGAGGAGGAACAGCAGGATTGTGGACACAAGACTGGGCAGAGACATCAAAGGAGGCTCACTTGAAGGCTGAGCTCTGGCTGTAAGGAAGAAATAAAAGAGTTTTTTTTTTTTTTGTTTTGGAGGGTGACATTAGTTGTCACTCTGTTTTTTCACCTTTTATTTTTTTAGGCTTTGTTTTACACTCACTGGCTTCATATTGGCTTCCGGTACACTTTAGAATTAATTGCAAAATCTTAGTACTGACTTTTAAAGACTTTTAGAGCCCTGAAGCTTCTGCCTACATTGCTGATCTTTTAGAACTCCACACTCCTTTTTGCAGCCTGAGATCCTCTAGTCCAAGGCTGTTGGTATTACACATTATTGTGTATGTACAATAATATGTACATCTTTTTTAGATTATTGTGAAGGACTTTGTCCTGTGAAGAGTGATATATAAATGAAGTTGTTAATAATAATAATAATAATAATAATATTGTTGTTTTTGCTAGACATATTGGTGCTTTAAACATCATAAGGTGAGTCTTTTAGTCCGTTTACATTAAGCGAATAGTTTCAAAGTACTCAAGAATAGCACTTTAGACCTCAAAATAACATCAAAATTGCAGGTGAACTATCACGGTCACAGCCATACAGGCTCTGACTGGATTATTAGTATATGGATTGTGACACAATTGATCATAATATACATCTATGGTAAGTTCTGCAAGGTATGTTTTGTACTTGATCAAATACGAGGGGAGAATTTTTCAAGTTGAGATTTTTGCCTCCAACAGAGCTTTGCCTTGGAAATACACATTTTATTGTCCTATTGCAAATAAAATCATCAAGGAAAAAATTTCATGTAACTGAACATCATTATCACCTCTCACACTCAGCCAGCTCTGTGGGGACTTTCCATGTTCAGGGTGTTCACAGTTGTAGAAGCCATGGACAGACATGGGCACATTTTTAAGGATCATCTCTCCTCTAGCATACTTTCCAATGAAAACATCATCTTTGTAGAAAGTAGCAAAGAAATCTGATGACGAATACTCATCATATCTTTCCTTGTAGGAGCAGCGAAGTGTCACATCATCTCCCTCAGTCACGGGAAGCGCAGGGCTCTCTAGGATCACCACACCAACTAAAATACAGGAAAAAAAAAGCACAGATGTTTGCAATATGCTCTTTTTTCTATCAAGCTACTAATATAAACATATTTTTAAAGAGGTTAAAATGAGAAAATATAGACTTAAAAGCAGAGTGCATATTTAAGAATCTCCCACTTTGAGGAATTTAGCCAAACAATGTTATGACACTTTGACAGACAGCATAGCTCATTCAGACCTTTACTACTACAAAGTTTCCTTTCTAGTGCTTACATTTGTTATACTTTTGTATATTTAATATGGTTGATTTAACAAATTGACAAATTACCTATTTACTTTACTTATTACTTATTATTTTTTTCTATACAATAAGTTTAGCTGATGTGGTCAGCTAACACAAAAAATTAAGAGAGGGGCATTTGCTATCCCACAATTACGCTTAAACATTTTTACTTCTTTGTTGCATTTGTGCAAAGCCTCAGCCACATAAAGTGTTGTTCAAAACCAACAAACTTTCAGTGGAAATGGCTTATAAAGCCACTGAGTCTGCACTGTTGATACTTACTAAGCACACTCACTGGCAGTGCAGCAAATGCTTTTATGATTGGTGTGTGCGTGCGTGTGTTTTAAGATAATAACATTAATAACAAAACAAGTTTATTTTTCATTTTTATATATGTTAGTGTTTTGTGATACAAGCACAATTCTTGTTGTTTTTGTTATGACTACTGGTATAAAAAAGAAAGAGAAATAATATTGAGTGGATTTTGGTAATTATGTAAACAACACCTAATTAAAACTGAAATACGATATGTAAGTTTTCCACTAAGTGATGAACATGATCTTAATATACCTCTCCGCTTTGGGTGAGGGCTTCCAAAAGCGTACTACTGTTCTTTTACTTGATCACTATTTTAAAAAAAAAAGAAAAACTTCACAAGCCACAAGTGCGACTACAAGTGTGGCTACACTTACACCCCCCTATAGTGTGAGAGGATGCGGGAAATGGGCTGCAACTGGTTCCAAATAATGGGGCCTGAGAAACAAGACTGACACAAAACATGGTAATTTGGACTCTACCAAATGTCTGTCACATCATGAAAATGTATTTCTTTTAAAGATATTGTGTATTTCATCTGACATTTCATAGAGAATTTTAGTTATACAAATGTGATATATGTTAGGTTAAAACAGACCTTCCCAAAGTGTGGGGCCCGCCCCCTAGGGGGGGCGCAGAGCCATGGCAGGGGGGGCGCGGTATGAAAAGGAAAAAAACAACGCTTGGACACTGCTAGCACAGGCGCCCACACAAGCGCAAAGCAGGAGATGAAGCATCGCTGAATATGTTTCCAAACCAACTTCATTCTAAGCCAAAGACTAGAAAATATGGTGAAGCAAATCTTCCCTTTGGTTTCACCTGCACAAGTGCCAAGGTAGGTCTACCCTGCAGATTGGTTTTCCCTGTGTCGGGAGCAGCGCTGGGCTCTCCAAATCACGGACAAACAGTATCCCACATTCTTGATTTTTAGTTCACAAACACTTGTTGTAATGACTAACTACTCCTGACATTTTGGAGATGTTAGCTCTTTATACAGTAAAGTTAGAGTGGGATACAAATAATATCAGGCTGATCCTGCCACGATTTGTTCCCTCGGTTCAAATCACGGACAAACAGCATCCAACAGCTGTTTATGTTTTTGAACCCATTTTGCAGAGGCATTTTTGAAAAATGTATTGATAGCAATGTTGAATATTATTACACAGGAAAAAAAAACAACTACACGTAAAATAATCACACGTGACGCGTCTGCCTTTGTAAATGGAGGGACAGTAACTACGTGTTTATATGTAAGCGTGTAAAACCTGAAGATAGAGACAAAATACTGTTAATCTGACTATCTGCCATTCTGCAATTCCTCTCATGTAAACAATAACGTGGCGCACAGCGTGACGTGAAAAAAGGCACATAGCTTTGACGTTGCGTGATGAACTCTGTATTCCTTGTTCACACGTAAACGCAAAAAATGAGTTTTAAAAAATCTCAGTTTTCGGTGATTTGAAACGCCGTCTACGTGTGGACGAAACAGCTGCGTTTTCAAAAATACCGGTGTAGGTGTGGACGCAGCGTAAAAGAGTTAGTAGTTTATTTTCTTACTACCTGCAGATTGCTTGTATTTGCTTAATTATTTACTAAATGTTTGAGGTGTGAAATAAACCGCAATGGAGCAAAATATGGGTGTGTGTGGTTGGAGGATGTGTTTGTGCGTGTGTGCACGCGGGGGGAATAAAAAAGTCTGGGAACCACTGGGTTAAAATAACTGTTAACTGTTAATTAGTTAGTTTTTCTTTTTTGCTTTTAGTTTGCTCCATTACTTTTGCTTCCTGTGTTATTATCAAGCTTGAGTTTATTTCTGTTCAGATGATCTCTCAACGATGATTTGGCTTTTTTTTTTACCCACATTCTTTTGGGTAAAAAAAATGCCACTTTTAAAATTTACCTGCTATCCAGCTCGGTCCCTCACATGCTTTAAGCATGCATTGCTAGTAATACATTTCACTCCTTTTTTTAGTTTTGTAAATAAAAACAGTTTTTGATGGTAGTTTATTTGGTACAGAGTCTAATCTAACTGACATTGAGCAAGAGACATGATACAACCTTGATAGGTTGATAGTTACTTCACAGAGCTAACACAAAGAGAAAGAAAACCCCCAAAACCCGTAGAAAATATTGTTTCTTGAGGCATCAGTGGGAGCCATTGAACTATGGTACAACCCCAGAGACAATTCTGCTCTAAAACTCAATGTATAGAACAAGTATTTCAGAATTGCAGTCTTACTGTTCACTGTTATGTTGAGGGTGTTGCTGCATTCCTTCTCAGACTCACACCAGTACAGTCCACTGTCTGCTGAGTAGGCTCTGTTATTGATGCAGGAGGATCCATTTGGGCGACCCCAGCCATCCTCACATAAAACACGCAACCCCATGGAGGTGCTTCTTCTCACTGCCCAGCCGTTAAAGTTTCCTGGCACTGCACAGTTGAGACTGAACGCTTCATAGCGAAAGAACTGAGTTCTGTCTGGCTGGATACTCAGCGTGGCTGCTGTGGGTTCCATTAAGAAATTATAGTCAAAAATCTTGTAGGACAATGTTTTGACAACACAATACTAACAATTGTTACTGCAAACTATATTGTATTATGAACACTGCCTATAGCTTTGTAGAAATTATCCACATATCTCTCTTATCTTAACTGCACTACTGTATAGCTCTGTGTAAATAATCATTCTGTACATACGATAATTTTTAATCCTACAACTGTTTATAACTTGCATAGTTCACATTTCTGTATAACTGTATATCTCAGATGTCTGTATAGTTTTTTTATTTCATATCCTGTTCATAGCCTGTACATAGCTTGTACTCACTACAGCCTGTACATACCTATAGCTATAGAATATTCATAACATACTTCATACCGTGTACATTATAACATACCATAATAGACCCATTTCTGTAACATACTTACATATCTATATTATTGCTAATATATATTGTAATATATCTATATCACTAAAGCACTTCTAGATGGATGCAAACTGCATTTCGTTGCCCTGTACCTGTGCATGTGCAATGACAATAAAGTTGAATTCTGTTCTATTCTATTCTATTTATACGTTCAACTTGACCCCAAGCATAGGAGCTGTAGTATTTCACCAACCACACAAATTGACTGAAGTCTATTTCTGTAATGCTATTCTACAGGTGAAAATGATTGCTACATGTGCTGGAATTTCAAACTACATTAAATGGTAATTTAATGAAAGTCAAATTTCTTACAGATGAGTAGGCAGAGTGAAGCCGTTTCCATGCTCTTTCTGAGTTGTCTGTAGTCTACTGCAGCAGCCTGACCCAGATTAAACCACATCCTGAGCATATATGAGAATTGAAACAACAAAGCACAACCCCCCAAAATTACTCACATGGTTATAAAATACACTACACCTATCCCCTGGGCTTCATGTTTTTTATAAGTCCATAACTTCTTTACCTCTGCTATTACTTTGTATTATAGTTTCTTTTCATCTATACTTGATTCTTTGTTTTAGTTTAGTATTCCTAGTGTCATTTTATAATTTGTCAAGTTTTTCTCTTTATGTTAGCCATTTCCCTATTACAGTGTGTACTTCCTGCTTTATTTTAATAGTACTATATCTTTCCAGATGTACTTTTAGTTCTGTTTCTTGTCTTTTATGATTTTCCAAGTAGCAAAAAGAGATAAACAAGTATCCAAGAACTGATCATTGACTTACGGAGAGAGAAGGATACACACACCAATGCACATTAAAGGCAAAGAAGTGAAGAAGAAGTAGTAATTCCTGGGCATCCACATCACAGAGGGACACATCACATCAAATGGACTGCAAACACCAACATGTTGGTGAGAAAGGCACAAAAACATCCAGAATCCTGTCCTTAATGGCCTAATGAGAAACTGAACAGACATCTGTTACTGAAGACTCCACCTTTAACATGATGCAAAACAATGTAGCAAACATTGTATTGAAATCTCACTTTAACTATTAAAACCACGTTCACGTTTTCCTAAACCTGTGTTGTCTGCTCCACGAGTCCAGCCTGCCTGAAGGCTTATCCTTTAACAATCAGTGTAGCACTCCAGAGGCCTCCCAGAGCACGAGAATCACGGTGGGGACAATCTTGGCCCGCACTCAGAAAAGAGCAGAGAAGAGCCCCGGCACAGAGTAGCCCAGCAGCCACAGTGCAGAAGCCCCCCATGCCCCACCGCAGATGGAAAAATTACACCCACTCTAACATTCAGTGAACCCTCAGACTCAATAAGACAACAGACACCCAGGTTGAGTCAATCCTCTACCTCTAGCAGATGCCCACTGGATACCCTTTACATGCACTTGCCGTTGATGCTGATGGGCTATAGCATGGACTTCCTCCTTCTTAAGTCGACTACCAGCTCTTTTGTCTTGATGGTATTGAGGTACAGGCTGAGGAAAGATGAGTCCTCTAACTCTCTGTACACGGTCAGAGAAAAAGTCTCTGATCCAGCAGCAGGTGGTAAAAGGAAGTCTGATATCCAGCAGTTTTACTATTTGTCTGTCCTGGAGCATGATATTAAAATCAGAGCTAAAGTTAACAAAAAGCAGCCTGGCGTAATGCCCCTATGGTTCCAGGTGTGAGATGGTAGTGTGGAGTTTTTAACAATGAAGTTTTTGCTTGATCTGAGAGAGAGAGATTTGCAAATTATTTTAAGGTCAACATTAATTAATTAAGGGATATTGGTCTACAGCTGGTAGGAAATACAGGGCTTTGTCTGATTTTAGCAGGAGACTAATGTTGGCAGAATTTGCATTTGGTGCTAGTCTGCATCCCATGAATCCCATGATTGATGTTTTTTTATGCACGGCTTCTATACAAAATAAATGACTAAAAATAAGTGAATATTTATTAAATAAATCAAATGTCATCATGTGTTTTTCTGTTTACTATATTTAGGATATTTAGGATGCTGGGGTATACTTTGACTGCTCAAAGGTTAACATCCTTCTTCAATTTGGAAGATGATCTGCCAGATGGTGTTAACAAATAACCATGAAGTGAAGATTTGTATTTATGTATATTGCAGGTGTATCACAGGTTTCAAAATTACACACACTGGAGGAGTGCACATACTTAAATATATATAGAGTGCAAAAGTAGTTTCTTGAAAAATATTTGCAAGATGCACACACAGCACTTTCAGAGTTCAGTTCTTTAATGCAAGTTTACTTTTCTAGGCTGTTGGCTCGCAGGGTTGCTAGATTACATCCGCACTCACAGCTGTCAGCTCTCAGCTCCTCATCCTCTTGGTGTCCAGAAGGGGCTCGTACTAAAATAGGCGAGAAATGATTAGATGGTCACAGCCAGTGGTGGTCAATAGCTTCGCCTGGCACTGCTGCTCTTGTCAACCACCACGCGGACAACTAATTGTTTACAGATAATTTATTCAACGTTCAGCCACAGGATCACTCAGCGTCGTCATCATCGTGATAACTAACCAAACAAAAGCAATTACAATCAGCAACATCACTGTTTCTTAAATATAAAAGATAATACTACTTAGCTTGTAACACATATTTATTCAAATTCAAAAACTTAACCATCATATGACATGTTTACAATAACACTGTTATCACTGTGAACTAAAACAAAACAAAGGTGTAGAAACATAAATGCCTGTTTATGGCGATTTCATCGAATCTCAAATTAACAGAGACATCCTGAACGCACCTTGTTGCCTGCTGTAGTCAAACGGGAGAAAATATGTTCCTCCTACTCCTCTCAGTGGTAGATAAAGAAATTCAGTCTAATTTAACCCAATACCTTACATGAATTCCTTAAAACCTTAAGTCCAGCTTGAAGGTAGTAGCATGCAGTGTTGGGCAAGTTATTTTGAAAAAGTAATTAATTATAGTTACTAGTTACTTCTTCAAAAAAGTAACTGAGTTAGTAACTGAGTTACAATATTCTAAAAGTAATTAATTACTTGAAAAGTAACTATTGCGTTACTTTATGTTTAACCCTCTGGGGTCCAGGGTATAATTGGCCATTTTTAACTACTTTTGATTTTCCCTCCACATTTTACCTTTAACCCTTTAAAGCCGGTCAGGGCCGCACGCTCCGTTTTGCTAACTATTTTTAAATCCCTGTAGAACCGGTGTTGTGCCAAAAAGTGATTGCCTGCCAAAAACTGATTTCCAATGTTTCCGTGTATTTTTTATGTGTAATATCTTTATGTAAGTTGGTAAATAGACTTCGGTGAACAGCGTTTACAAAGGGGTTATATATAGAATTAAAAAATTATCTGTTTTTTCAAGTATCTTTATAGCTCTGTGTTATTGTACTTACATTATAACCAATCCGGTCCTTTATCCTCGTTTACAATATTTTTACAGAACTATTGTCATATTTGCTGCCATTTCTGCTGTCCTCTTGGCCAGCTTACTCTGACAAAATACATTTTTAATGTTAATGAGATTTTTTTAACTGCATAAATAAAGGTTATATAAAAGTCACTGCCAAAAACTGATTGCGGCTTCTACCTTGTTACACGAATGTTGTTTGTGGCTCAATATGACTTTATGTCATCCATGAGGGATGCATTTAACATATGTTTCACATATTATAGCCCAACAAGTTACTTATAGCAGTTTAAATACGAGCAATCACTTTTTGGCAAATACCGGAAATCACTTTTTGGCAGACAATCACTTTTTGGCACAACACCGGAACCACGTAAGCTAGCGCAATAATTTTTTTTTGCATATGAAACCTGAGGAGTTGTACTTACATCTTATGCCATCAGCTTGTCCTAGGTCACGGTTTCCTTCCACATAAAGCGTTGCAAAAATTGCATAAAAAGCACTTGCAGGAACAGAAACATAATTATCCAGAAACACATTTTGCCGATCCGATCAGCTGTTCGTAACACTTCCCACATTGAAAAAGAGTCAGCGAACGATTGCATGTCCACCATTTCCTGCCCTAAACCGGAAGTGACGTCATTTTCTCGGAAAATGTAGTTTTTTACTTGTAGAAGCTTAAAAGCCTATACTGGTGTTTTTATAAGTTATGTTTGACTCTATACTTTTCTGAATAGTTTCTGGGATGCTTAGAACTCGAATTGCACTGCTTTAAATAGTTTATTTTGATGCACATGCTGTTTTCTTTGCAAATTTGCAATTTTTCATTTTTCCTGCAGTATATAACAATTGCTGTATCTCAAAAATAAAACTATGAAGACATTCAAAATAAATTTCCTGTTGTTGTAAACTATTTTTTGCAACTTTTTTGTTAAAGTTTTGAGGGATAAACCTCTTAAGTTTCTCCAAGTAGAAATATATGTAAAAAAAACCAACTTTTTTTGTAGTTTATTGCACTTTTTTGCAATTAATGTAGTTACTATGGACTTAATGCATACATATTATTAAAATCTGGGCTATAACAGTTGTATTGATGTATAGCAACTTGAAATGCTCCCAAAAATGGCACTACAGCATGTAAAAATATAAAGTAAGCTCTGGCGGACTTGGTTCTATAGTAGGTCTTAAAGGGTTAAAAACCATTTACTTTGCCTTCTTTTCAGCACAACCTCACGTGTCTGAATTTACAGTTATGTTTTCATTTTGACATACTGTATTAACACAATTGATCTAAAATCAGACAAAAAAAACATAAAATCCGAGTAGAAAAAGTTATATTTTTACTGTAACAATCACAAACATGTTTAATGAATCATATTTCATAACTTTAAATGCAAATATAAATTGTCAATTTTAAAATCCTATGCACAAGATTTGCAAACAACAAAGTTATTTGCATCCATTTACCTTTTACCTTGATTTTTTAAATAACCATTCCAAACTATTTACAGAACAATCATCTGTTCTGCATTCAATAAGATGCCACACAAATTATTTGTGCCACTCCAAAAAAATAATTTCTGTCCACTATATAGGAGAACATCACAGCCTGATACCTGCAGGTCTGACAGCAGCAGGTGTATCACTCCTGTATTCTACCTGGAGACAGCAGTCACCTCATTGTTCTGACACACAACACAAAACTATCGACAGCACGACACACTAACTACACAAGACAACACTACACTACATTAACTACACACTCCATTAGTAACGCCGTTACTTGTGACGCCATTATTCCCATCACTGGTAGCATGATGCTCCAGAACCTGCAGTGCACCCATGCTTCCCCGCTCTTGTGTCACCACAAACTCAGTAGGTGCTGCGAATTACTTCCGCTACAGCAAATTTCAAAAGAAAGCCCCACGATTAAAGGATAAAGGAGGAACATTAATGTTAAGATATTCATTGTGTGTACTCATGTTGTACAGTGTGTTTAACTGCATTATGGTTACTGTTGTTTAACAGAGAGACAGTATTTTAGTTGTCACCACAAGGAGGCACTGTTTCATTGTAAGGGCACGTATGCTGCGTCATCACGCCCCTAAGAAGAACAAGTATACCACCACAACAAAAATGGCACCCATGAGGAAAAGTTTTGCCCCGTGTTGATGTGGAATAAAGTTCCCAAAATATTAAGGAATTTTTTGCCTCCGTCGTCATTTTCCTTCGAGTTGATCGCTGTCGATGCTGCAATAGTAAACAATTAAAATACTCAACTGTCAGTTAAAGGCGCTACCCCCTGAACCTGCTCTGTCACCCCTTCCCTGCAGCTGAGCCACACCCTACCACAATGTTTCTGCCAACTATTTTTGTCATACAGTATTCATATAATATTAAAAACATAACAGCACAAAAGAATATGAACCTTATTTAAAGTCTCATGATTTTCTTATACTCAGCTTGGGTTACTTTGTCTTTAAACTGAAAAAAATGACTACTATAAATCATGCATCAATGAGGTGTTTTTGTTTATTTATTTGATCATATTGTTTTGCCTCTTTTACCTCAATGTCAATTGAGGTCAAAGAGAGCATGTGGTAGGCTGAGTAACCTACTGATGATGATTATCTTATATTTGTTATTGTTCTCTCCATTTCTTTTGGGGAAGGCATTTTATAAAGTGAAATGGTTCCTTCCAGCCAGAAGATGACTTTAAACTTAGTGTTACGTATTTACAGCTTTACACGAGAAACAACCTATCTATGTTATATAAATAAACACAATATTTGTTCATACATTAGGTTTCCCATTTAATTCTACACTGCCAGGATCTATGTCCCACATCTAGTATTTTAAATTACATGTCTTTAAGATTATGATTAGTTACTGCTCTAAATAATTGTCTTTTTAAATCTTTCTGCCCCAGTCTTGCACAGGGTTATCTACAGCTTTCCTCTATTTCAGGGGAACTAATTGTATCACGCAGGCCTTCCCACAATCTGTTTCCCCTGTCCATAGACAAACAGTATCCCACATCCTTGTCTTTCAGCTACAGAAATGTGAATTACAAGAATAAAATAGACAACTGTTTTCAGTGATGCAATCATAAAGGTGTATTTTTGTTTCCAGAAGATCCATTGTTTTGTCAAGCGTTAAAGTTTCTATGAATTGAGTTTACACAGACGCGATTATCCTCTTATCACGTCCGTATAAACGTCCTCGGTTTATTGAAATAATCCGGTCCGACACGTAAGAACAAAAAATGTATGATTTTCTGTTGTAACCCGCAAGCTGAATGGTGATATAACGACACTCATCTTTCACTTTTACATTAAAGTAAAACGTGACTACTCCGTGTCTAGTTGGTTGTAATGGAGGTATGGAGAGATCCGCCCTCCCTGGCCAGTGCGCGCTCCCGATAAATGATAACTCATTTGGCCTGTCCACCAGATTACCAATCCAGATCTGCTGTGATGCCTGGCTTTTGTTCAAATTGTGAAGCACTTTGTAACTCTATGATTTTGATTTTAAAATTAACTAGCTATACAAATAAAGTTGTTATTATTATTATCCACCGCTTTTATTTCCTGGTTTGTGATAGTGACTCCTAAAAGATGGTGCGTTCATTATTAAATTGTAAATCACAATGTCTGATTTCCCGGTCGGCATTTTAATATAGAACTTCCCCTCACTAGGAAAGTCGAAGCAGCCCCAGCAATCCAGAGATAACACCAATCCACGCTGGCGGCACTGATCTCAAACAGTGAGTAAAAACTTTAAGCTATAAATCTGTACTGTCACCGACGGACTCAGCAGAGCACTAATCGCGTTCTATCCATTACTGTGCTGCAGCGGTGTTTTTAAGCACAACAAAATAAATATTATGCTGTTTTGCTAGTAATACTTGAATTGCTCTGCCTTGATACAAACTAAAACAAATCCACTGTTTCTTTTTTTATTCTGTAACACGTTAAATCGGGGCTGACGTGAACGCGGCAGTCTACGACATAGATCCTTTCGGTTTAACTAGAGCCCGAATCTAAATAGAAAGTATATTTATATTTACGATCTGTTTCTTGAGCTAGGGCAATGAAATGCATCCAACTTATCGTGATATTTGGACTGTTTGCAGGTAGGCTTTGGTTTTTAGAACGACGTTAAGTAGGTTTTAATCTAAACAGCGAGAGGGCGCGGACCCAATCTTTTCTCTTATTCGTATGGTCTTTCTGTCTATAATCGGGTCGCACCTTCGTGTTTGGCAGTAAACATTCAGTAAATGTTATTTTATAACAGCAGATTTTGGTTCAGCGTTAATTTTCATTTGGCATCACGGAAAAAAACAATTAAGGATTAAAACTTTAGGCGTCAGTGAAACTGAAAACCTTCAGATTTGACCAGGTTATAACTCAGAAGCCTATCTGACTATGGAGAGAAATCTTAAAATGTTTACACGTTTCTTTGTACTCTTTTGTGGATTCAGCTTACACAAAAGTCACTAAACACAGTAAATCTTGGTCTGTAAAGTAACACTTTGGAGGCTAACTTCTCCCCAGATAGCCTATTAAAATAAATTTTCGGACCAAAGAAGCATTTCTTTTACCGAAAAGGAAAGTAATTCAGAGTATGCCAAAATGTGATCATTATTTCATAATAAAGAAAGCGATTGCTATAGACGGTAATAATAATAAGACTGTCATTATATGTAAACGGTGACATTTATAACTGCAAGTAATGAAATTGCAAGAGCATGGCTATATTTGGCCTGCATTGTACTAAATATGAAACAAGAATTACCAAGAAGTTAAATATGTCAACTTCTTAGTTATTGAGGCACTTTTAATCAAAATATAAATAAATACAAACCATTATTTAGAACTGGCAAGTTCTCCTGGATTAATGACCAGTGAGGAGAGAGAGAGAGAGCAAGGTTTCTGTCTTCTCTTCAGAATAAAAGAACTGAAGGAAAAATGTCATGTGGCAAGAAAGTTGCCAACAAAGTCAAGTAACAATCCAATTATAAAAAATAGAAGTAGAAAAAAGTTCGAAAAATCAGCCAAATTCAAACAGAGCTCAACACTGTTTTAATTTGGTAGAGATTTTACTCCAGATGTCCTTCCTCATGCGACTCTCCCATTTATTCAGGCTTAGGACGACCTGGAGGACATTCGCTTATGAACCCCTGAGGATGGATTTCTAGTATAATAATAAAGAAAATAAAAGAACTAATAAATGCTAAACTGAAATAAGCAAAGTCACTATGAAGATGACACTAAACTGAAACAAAAATTAAAATAAAACCAACATCAAAACAAAGCAGTTTTAAAAAAATCCCTATCATTATAATTTCAAGGTATCTCCTTTATACCCACAAAAGTTTAATTATTCAAGATATATTTATTAAATCATCACATTACAGTATATTACAGCATACGTATCAGTTGTCTTAAATTGAAGAGAATGCAGGCATGTCTGCAATACTGAGTAGTTCACACTTAAGTGGCTTATATGAATATGTGGGACCTGCAATAATATGGATGTTTGGGGTTAATGTCCATTTAAATTGAATGCTTTCTGGGTTTTATGTAAAGTCCAACGTAGAAAAGTGCAGAGTTAATAGTTTAAAAAAAACATGAATGATTTGATCTGTAGTCCTTATAAGGAGTTGGAACTATTCTTTCTTTCAGAAGCAATAAACCTTTATCCAAGAATGTAAAAGCTGACATTTGCAAGTTGAAGCCCAACTGTCTTTGAATTGCTGCTTTAACCTTTAATATTTTTAAATATTCAACCTGGTTACACATTGATAAGACTAAGATCTCCTCCACTATGCTGCATATTAGTGTCATCTGTTTTTTTTTTTTTTTTATTTACAGAAAGGAAGACAGAATGCCCTCTTTCTCCAGAATATTTTCAGGAAACAAAGCCAGTACAAGCAGTGAGTGGCAAGAACATTATTCTCCCATGTTTCCCAAAGTTTGATCTGAGCGTAGGACATGATATACTGGAGTGGCATTTCTATGAAAAAGAAATCTACACCTTTGAGAAAAAAGGACTGGTCCAAGAAGAGAAGTACAACAACAGATTATTCACTTCTACTGAGGAGCTGGAAAAAGGAAATGCCTCAATTCAACTCTGTGATGTGAAGGAGTCAGATGCTGGAGAATACTGTTGTTGTATTGCAACACAAACAGTACTAATGCCAAAATGCACTAAAATTAATCTTGGTAAGAGCTCCACACAACATACCTATAATTGTTAACATATTGGTTTTTCCCTGGGGATTTTACAAGAGGTGGTTGCTATTAATAATTTGGCTACTACAATCAGAGACCAGTAGTACCTCTTATCATTTTTTAGCAAAAGTTATCAATCTTATCTTTTGGTAAACCAAATAAATCACCTTCCTAAGAAACATTAAGGGATATAAGGTACACATTGCTTGTTCAGGGTTAAACCTTGGCTTCTGAGGTTCCTTAATTCTCTGTGGTGCTGATTCAACGAGGTTCTGGAAACGTTAATCAGAGATTTTTTTGTCCATATTGACATAGCATCACAAAGAATCACACAGTTACGGCAAATATGTCAGCTGCACATTGATGATGCAAATCTCATCTTCCACCACATCCTAAAGGTGCTCTGTTGAATAGATCTGGTGACTGTGGAGCCCATTTAAATATGTTTTTGCTATGTTGAAGAAACCAGTTTGATCTGAGCTTTGTAACAAACAGCCATCAGAAGATGGATACACTGTGGTCATAAAGGTATAGCCCTTTGATGCATAGTGGTCACTACAGTGAACAGCTATTCAAAGGCTGTTTTCTTGTATTTGTGTCAGTGTGATGGTATAGTTGCACATAAACCACTAAATTGGACACTGATGTGTCACTCTATACCTTGCCACCCACTGGTTGTTTAATGTTACTATAGATGTATGATGTGTTTCATTGTAATTATTTTTATTTAACCCTGTCATGCATGAATTATGACAACATCAATCAGGATTTTTTTCTCAAGTATTTTTATTCAACTTTTCATGCCTAAAGATGAATGAAAATTCTTAAGAGACAAATCCTGATTGAGGTTGTCATAATTCATGCATGAAAGGGTTAAACATAGTAAGCAACACATTTTTGCCATAAAAAAAAAACAACACATTGTCCGTAACAAAATACAGCTGACAGTGGTAGCACCTGGTGCATCATTTGCTATATATATAGCTATAATATAATATAATAATAATAATAATATAGCTGCTTTAAGGTTTGATATGTTTTGTGCTCAGAAATGGTCTTCTGCATACTATGGTTGAATTGAGTAGGTATTTGAGTTATTGTTCCCTTGCTATAAACCCAAAGTACTCTTACTATTTTTCTCTGAGATTAACTCTTCTAATTTTACATCCAAAATAACAAAACAAAAGTATTTTTCATCTTTCAAGAAACCATTTGAATTTTCTTTCTAGCCCAAAATGGATGAGGAGTTACGGTAATGTGAAGCACACATGGTAAAATTTAGCTCATTTTTGGAAAAAAAAAATGCTACCATGATACACAAAATACCCCTGTAAAGTTTGCCTTCATTTCTTTCAGAAATGGCTAGAATTTTGCACTTTGCAGTTATTTATTTGTAAAAAAAAAAGTTTGGAATCATGTATGTTTTCGTTCCACTTCTCACGTGTACACCACTTTGTATTAGTCTTTCACGTGGAATTCCAATAAAATTGACTCATGTTTGTGGCTGTAATGTGACAAAATGTGGGAAAGATCAAGGGGGCCGAATACTTTTGCAAGCCACTGTAGAAGAATTTGTTGCTGCGCTGTGTAAAGGTTTCCTCGATCGCTGCACTAAAGACCAGCTGTCAAAAGTTGCAGATGAGTATGAACTTGATTTAGGTGGCCATGGTGATAAACATTGTAAAGATACTGTGAAAGCTGAGATTAAGATGCAGTTAAGTGAAAAGGGCGTCTTGGTGGCTGGGCAACAGGGAACTGGTCAGCCAGTAATAGCGATACTGCAAGTTTTACCAGGAAATTTGACTTTTGAGCAACAGAAAGAGCTAATGTTGTTACAAATGTCATATGAAAAGGAAATGCAAAAGTTGGAACTAGAGAGGCAGAGGATGGAATTGGAAAAACACAAGTTGGAGGCTGAATCCTGTTGCAGTAGCTCCTTTGGGTTTGAACATGGAGTGTGGTGAGTATGTTGAATGTGACATGGTTGACAGGCCGAAGAAGTCTTTTTTGCCTTTGTTGACAGGGATGGGTTTTTTACTGTACCTGGGGTGGAACACCAAAGTCTCAGGATTTTGAGAGACACTGGTGCTGTCAACTCTTATGCCGTGGGGTCCATTCTCCCATTTTCAGATGAGACTGCCTATGGGAATAAGATTCTTATGTGAGGAATGGGGTTGAGGGTGGTTCTGCTTCTGGTGCATAGTTTCAACATTGAGTGCAAATTGGTGCAGAACGATGTGCTGGTGGGGGGTTGGGCCTGCATTGCCAGTAGAAGGAGTGGATATCATTTCAGGTAATGATTTAGCCAATGGTCATGTTGGGGTAAATGCGTCATCACCCCAGTAGTCACAGATTCACCTTTGGATTTGGCCTGCAGTGAGTTAATGAGTGCACAGAGAGCTGACCCATCCATGAGACTGCAGTTGGGGATGAAAAGTGTGGTTAATGGTTATTTTTTGCAGAATCTTATTTGGTGAGGACGTGGGTGCCCCATGGGGTGGACTTTGTGGGGGATCCACCAAGTCGGTGCAGCCAAGTATGTCAGCAAGTTTGATTTTCTGAAAGGCTATTGTCAGGTTCCCCTGTTAAAAGGAGCACATGAAGTGGCGATATTTATTATTCCTTCAGGACTGTTCTTATAAAGTGATGCCATTTGGTTTGAGCAATGCACCAGCTACATTTCAGCATCTTATGAATCTCGTTGTGGCTGGGTTGGCTGGGTGCCGTATATTTGGATGACTTGTTGGTCTACAGTGACTCTTGGGTTTTTCATAGAGTTAGGGCACAGTTTGACCGCTTAACAGAGGCAAAGCTCACAGTGAATTTTGTGAAATGTGATTTTGCTCGGGTGACTGTGACTTACCTGGGTTGAGTGGTTGGGCAACGGTGTGTTGCTCCAGTAGAGGCTAAAGTGATGGCAGTCGAGCATTTTCCACAACCTTCTACAAAGGAGTTGATGAGATTTCTGGTGGTGGGGTATTATCTTGGTTTCTGTAAAAACCTTTCCACCGTGGTTGCACCACTCAGCAACTTGTAGGAATAATAGGAGTTTATTTTCCTTACTAAGGTTATTGCTATATACCTTTAGTATTCTAGGTCTTTACTAAAAACTAAAATGAGAAATCTAGATATCCTTATATGAATGAGTATATTCACCAAGTAAATATTTTTTTCATTACAGAGCTGAAGAAAAGGGATCAAGGAGAAGGGCAAGTGGGTGAGTACATTTGAGTGCCATTTTAAGGAATAATCCCCCGAATATTTAGCTAATTATGTGTAGTTAAACAAAGCGGTATGCTTTCTTTTTTATCTTTTTTATCTTTTAACAGCAGCATGTCTGTTTTAAAGCTTATGTCATTTGTCTGCAGATCTAATAAATAAGAAAATAATTAATACAGAAAATGTAACCAATCCAGCAAAAACAAGTAAGTAAAATCTCAGTTTCAGATTTTTAAAAATGCAGCCTGTTCTTGTTTTTATTCCTGGGAGTAGGCTTATGATTTCAAAGGTATGCATTAGGTGTCTATACATTTATGTAAAGTACATTTATGCCATGACACAGTGTTAGTGGCAATAGTGTGGAAGACCTGTGGCATCAGATTTTAACATATTTATATATGTTAAGGGGTGTTGTTTTAATGACCTGTATTTTAACTCAAACCATCTTTACCTAAACTGGGAGTAGTTTAGGTAAAGATTATGGTTCTCTTTTACAGTATATTTGTGGCCTGTTTTTTTCAAGGGAACAGTATTCACCTGACAAAATAACAGTATTTATAGCCTTGAAAAAAACGTTTTAGTTTTGTGAGTTGGTTTTTTTTCCACATAGAACTGTCATTCTATGTGGAAAAACAATTAATAAAAAACAAAAAAAGCAATAAAAAAGCTTTGAAGTGTAGTAATAGTTTTGCTAAAAAATGTTAGTTTAATGAATGTTGGCTTTTAAACAATCAAGCCTGGACTGCATGGGACTTTTATCTCCCTTGACTCACTTCAATATTTCTTTGATGCTTACAGATCCTACTGTGGTATGTGTGGTAGTGGTTTTGTCTGTTCTCCTTGTTGCAGGTATTTATAACACATTTACAGTAAATATATGTGTTGTCTTGACAGATTCATTATGACCCTTTAATTATTCAACGTATTGTACTCATTTACATTCATAAAGGAACATTTTGAACTTCCTTATGCTTAGTTTTGTTTATGTTTTTGCTATGTTTACTAGACGGGAATAATTTAATTTTAAGAAATTAGCATTTTTCATAAAATTGAATACTTTATATATTGTAGCGAGTTCTGAATACTTTTTGATTCAAAGGAATCAATTTTGAGTGCATAAATACACCTTCAACTTTGAATTCGAGTAATGTCGGGTGTATGAAATTACTCAAGCTTCTTCTTCTTTTTTTTTTTTTGTTAAGGTCTTATTTAACATATGCTACAAGAAGAACAGTGAGGAGCAAAGGTAGAAACATTAGTCAGATCCTTATTCCTTTTACCATGGATTTCACAAGTGTGTTGTTAAAGCATGTTATAAAAATGCATCTGACAGTGTTTTAAATACATAAACTTAACTATGTGGTACTGATTGCTTAAAGTACAGTGTACAAATACTAATGGATGTTTTGTGTTGTATAGTAATCCAAGACAAAGTGAACAAAACAGTGGAAACACAGAGGAAAATACAGGAGTAAATCTGGAAATGGAAGGGACAACAGCTCATTTAAGACAGCGACGGAAGTGCTCTCTAGCTTGATGATAGCAAATCACAACCATGGAACCATCCAATCTTACTAGGTTGTACAGTGTAAAATGTTTTCAACATAACAATCTGTTGTGAAGGACTGCCTTAAAATTTTAATTTGAGTCAACAGTTTGTTTTGTAAGACAGTTAAATGTTATATTGATGAAAAATCACATGTTGTATAAACTCTTGGGTTTACTTGATTTTCTTAATTACCCAAGCTTCCTAAGGTAGCTATATGAACTTGTAAATCAGTTTCATTTTAATTATAAAAGTTATTGGACTTGACGTACATTTAAAAAAAAAAATTGGTGTGTATTAAAATTAAGTTTTCTTTAAGCCTTCCAACATCTATCTCAGCACACCTGTTTGGTTTGTCTTAATCTTACATTTAAATTGGTACATTGATTTAAATTGTTTTTTAGTTATTTATGCTTCGGAATTAAATAAAAAATGAAAACAGATTTAAGTGTATCTAATCATTCCATGCAAATCTGTTACAAGGACATGATAAATACCCATAAACATCCAACATTAATCATGTATTGCTCCGTCTCACTCATGTGTGAATAAAAAAAAAAAATCAGTGAGGGGTCAAAATCCAAGACTATGACCAAAATGGAGTATGTATGCCCTGGTACTTCAGTGCGTTACTTCTGTTTTGTTTTTGTGCATAATTTGTGTGTCTGGGCACTTCTGGGTATTCATACACCAGAGAGGAGCTTCTTAACTACAGGACTGCAACACCTGTGGATTTATTTCCAGTATTTGTCGCATCTCGGCAGTTTTACTACAGACTTTGATGAGGAAAATGAGAGCTGAAGGAGAGGAAAGCGAGCCGGCGCACTCGTGCGTCTGAGGAGACGCGGACTACGAACTCCTCTTCCTGGGATCTTCCTTTCCAACGTACGCTCACTCCGGAACAAAACTGATGCGCTGGCCCTGATGAGAAGCATGAACAGAGACTTTGCCTCTTCCTGTGTCTTATGTTTTACGGAGTCGTGGGTCTGTGAGGACATCCGGGAATGCGCGATCAAGCTGGAGGGGTTTTCATGTGCTCCGCGCGGACCGGCAGGCCTCTCTCTCCGATAAGACCACAAGTGGAGGTGTCTGCTTCTACATTAATAGTGGCTGGTGCACAGATGTGACAGTGATTGCTTGGCAGAACTCTTCCTCTCTGGAATACCTTTTTATTCACTGCAAACCGTTTTATTCTCCGCGGGAGTTTGCTTCATTCATTATGGCCACTGTTTACATCCTGCCAGCTGCGGATGTTCAGGCAGCTCAGTGCGCCCTCATTATTCCTCTTGGGGACTTTAACAAAGCCATTCTGAGCCAGGAACTCCCCAAATATAAACAGTATATTAAATGCCCGACCAGAGAGGAGAGGACATTGGACCACTGTTACAACACGATTAGCGGGGCCTATCGCGCGGTGCCCCGTGCTGCACTCGGACTTTCTGGCCATGTCATGATCCACCTGATCCCCGCGTACAGACAGAGGCTGAAGCTCTCCAGACCTGTCATGACGACTAAAAATCTGTGGCGTAACGAGGCTGTGGAGGAGCTTCGCACATGTTTGGAATCTCAGACTGGGACACAATTAGGGCTGCTTCTAACAGCTTGGATGAGTTTACGGACACTGTCACCTCCTATATCCACTTCTGCAAAGACAGCATTGTGCCATCACGCACCAAGGGGGCTCAGAGTAGACCTGGGGCAGACTCAGGACATTCTGGAAAGATTATATCTCTTGGCTGGCCAGGGAACGCCTTGGTGTTCCCCCAGACAAGCTGGAGGAGGTGGCTGGGGAGAGGGAGGTCTGAGCTTCTCTGCTTGGGCTGCTGCCCCCACGACCCGGCCCCGGATAAGTGTAAGAAAATGAATAGATGGATGGACTTACTGTAGCTGTTAGCTAAAATCGCTAATTTAGCGTAGTTTGCTCTGGGTTCAGCTTTGACAAACAAATATGATTCCAAATATGATTCCAAAGTTGGTGTCTTGTACCCTCCTAGAGGGTACAAGACACCAACTTGCAGAAACGTGGAAAAGAATGTCCAAACCATAGTATTTTAGGTTTATTTGTCTTACACAGCATCCCAACTCTTTAGCTAAATTAATAACTTTAGCTAAAGTGAATAGTTAGTCTAATTCATTAGTGCAGCATTACTGGCTCACCTCTGCTTAAAAGAATATGATATATGACTACTACAGTGTTTAACTACCATAATAATTCTTACATTACTGAGTGCATCCTTAATTTTTTTATTTATTTATTTATTTTTTACATACTGCTCCATTATTATGTTTGACAGACATCTTTTACTGGTGTTTGTGCCAAAAATGGAGTGTCCACTGAAGACTCAAGATGGTGAATCTCTGATTCTCTACGCTTTCCCATTGATCCAGCTTGTGCCTTCGTCAAGACAAGAGACATTTACTTGACCACACTCTCACATGCTCTGTACCTACATCACCATCCCTGACAGTTGTAGCTTGGCCCATCAGAGGTTGAAATTATCAGAATGTGTTATTTTGCAAAGTGCTCTGTAGGGTTCCTAAATAAAATATGGCATTGAGGTCATTTCTTTTGAATTCTTTTTTAATAATCTCTTCTTCTGAAATATAAGAAACTCTCCTGGTTTTAATGCCACTTTGGATTCCCTTACTTTCTGTTCCACTCCCAACCCCAAATAGATGCTGATAAGCTGACACAGTAACATGGAAGAAGGAAAGAAGTTTGCAAGGGCTACTAAAAATAAACCTTATTCCTAACAATGAAAAATGTAAAATAAGAACAATAATAAAGATAAAAGATGAAGTAACACAAGTTTTCTTTATTTTTTTTTGTATTCCAGATGATCATCCAGATGTCTGTGACGTGTGATGATAAACACCATAATGGAAGGCCTTTGTCATCACATGCTTAAACTCATCATATATTTTTTGCAAATGCTGAACAGGCAGTCAGACATGCTGTAACTGTGGGGTAGAAAACTGCATGAACACCATACTGCAGGGGTCTCAAACTCCAGTCCTCAAGGGTCACTGTCCTGAAACTTTCCCATGTGTTCCTGTTGTAGAACACCTGAATAAAATTAGTAGGTCATTAGCGAGACTATAGAACTTGACTGCATGCTGAGGTGGAAATTCAGCCATTTGATTCATGTTACAGCAGCTCATGAGTGAATAAACATGGTGCAATAAAAATACTTTTATAAGTATATTTTTCCAAACACTTACATTTACTTAAATTTACTTGAGCAGGGTTAGGGGTTGCCACTTCAGCGTGGAGTCAAGTTCTATACTCTTGCTAATGACCTACTAATTTTTATTAGGTGTGTTGCACCAGGGACACATGGAAAAGTTGCAGGACACCGGCCCTCGAGGACTGGAGTTTGAGACCCCTGCCATACGGAATATGACAGGTGAGGTTGAACTGCATGAAGACTCTTAAGTTTCTCTTCTGGCAGGACAGGAATGTGGCCTTGGCCTGTGAGCCACTGTAAGGATGTACTTAGAGTAGAAGTGGACTGTCACTGGCCTCAGACTTCACCTTTTCAAAGACAACGCAGTTGTTTAGATAAAATATTAGATATTATTTACCTTTAAATACACAAAGAGAATTTAGAAATGTA